AGCAAATGATTCATTCAATGAATCAAGCGCCTCACTGAGGGCTGAAGGAGGTCTATAGCAACTCATAATCGTAAAGAATTGCTCCTTTGAAGTCTTAACCTTTAATACCAGACTTTCATATTGCTTTGGAATAGAAACTGAAGAAAGAACAGTGACTTGAAATTTACTTTTTACATACACAGCCACACCTCCACCCTTCCTAGGTCGGTCACAACGAAAGATATTATAGCCAGAAATATTGATATCATCATTTGAAACTGCTTTATTTAGCCAAGTTTCAGAAAGCACTAGAATATCCGTATCAGTAGTTTTAATCCAAATTTTTACTAAATCCAGCTTAGGTAACAGGCTTCGAACATTTAGATGAAGGATCCCAAGTCCTGATCTAGCTCTAAATTCATCAGGCGTGCTGATGTTGCTCTCCAGAGGGCCTGGATTTGGCTGAATATTTCCTGATAATAATAATAATAATAATAATAATAAGAGCAACACAAAGCACTTCCGCCTAGCAACACTTGAAATCCATACCCAAATTAAAACATCCTATATGAAATGTTAGTCAAACACATACATGCAAGATAACTGTCTATCCTATATTTAACTATTTTCACTCTGTAATTCTCTAGTTTAAAGGTTTTCAGAATATTATGTATTGCTGCTAACAAATCGGGACTGTGCGGTATAGAAGATGAATGAATGAATGTTAACAAATCATCTGTTCAATTTTTTTATTTTTTCCCCCCCCCCCCCCTGAACTTGGCAAAGGAACAGCTACAGTATGTTGAACACACATGTCAAAGTAAACTGTATAGTATGTCTTTGTATGCAGTTGAAATTGAGGCTGTCCTGACTGGGGAGATTTGCTTATTTTATCTATGGAGTAGGTAAATGCAGTTAGACAGACAGTCTAATTCTACAATCTAACACCATTTAGTGATGTCATTATAACAAAGAAATGTGATTTTTTTTTTCAAACTTCCAATGTATCTTTGCATATATTTACAAATACAAGTTGCCATAGCACTATCTAGGCATCAGTGTGCAGCATGCAGTGGTGGTGGAAGTGTTCTCAGATGCTTCATTTAAAGAAAAAGTTGAACATTTTGCAAAATATATTCATTCACTTTATTACCAGGAGTAAGATTTCAGTGTTTGTCAGCTAACTCTGAAGCTAGTCAGCTTAGCATAAAGACTGGAAGCAGAGGAAACCACAGGCAAGGCTCTATCCAAAGACTTTAAAAAATCCTCCTACCTGCACCTCTAACACTCACCAAATAATATGTAATGTATTAACCCTGTAAAACCTGACATATCAAAAAATAGCCAGAACACTGTAATTTTTTGGAACTGAGATGTTTATTAAACCTTTTAACAAAATCCAAAATAAAATTCATGAGTCAAAATTCAAGA